CATCTGCAGTGAAGCGTGATGTGGCCGATTCCTCAGAATGGCAGCTGGCTGAGAGACAGTTGTGTGTATTTTTCCGTAAATGTGTACCGGCTGAGATCTGGGGGACGCTCCACGTGCCTGATGACAGCGTCACGGACACCGAAGTCGAGGCTTTGTTTGCCATCTACTGCACGTGACGGTTGCTAGGTTACGGCTCGCACCGCAGCATCACGAGTCCGCCTCTCCCCCCCTCCCCAGATGCGCCCAGGGGAGGCCTACGCCGTGTACCACACCAGCCCCACGCTCTCCAGCCTGTCCAAGCCGGTGGTGCTGTGGACCCAGCATGATGTTTGCAAGTGGTTGAAGAAACACTGTCCACACAACTACCTGACGTACGTCGAGGCCTTCTCGCACCACGCCATCACAGGTAGCGACGCCCCCCTCCCCCTTGCCGTTGGGGCCATCTCGGAGGAGTGTCTTGGGTGGGTCAGGGTGTCACGGGGCTTAATCACACTTCTGACAAATCACTGACGGCCTTACACTTCTGACCCTCTCCATAATGCCCAATTACGGGAGCCGTAACTAATCTCATCACATAATTCATCCCACTGAAGCCATTTCTCTAGCCTTCCTTGGGCTAGTCTGAGGCAGGGGGGGGCACCCCTCATTTTTCCTGGCAGTGATGTACAGGAGCAACGTGGAAAGTTCCAGCAAAGATCCGTGTGGGAAGCGGTGCCGGTTATCTGTGGTTACGGCAGGATTGCGTTTCCCCTGAGAGTCACCGCTTACCGAAGCTGAAAAGGGATTTGGGAGCGGCTGTGTTTGAACTAAAAAAATGTTTTTAGTTCTGGCTAAGCCCCATGTTTGAACTGAGGGATTTAATAAATGGTTTACATCGAAATCTTTTACACTAAGATGGTAAAACCATTCATTGGCAAAACAGAAGTAGCTTGTTCTGAATAATAATGCGAGAAATAATTACCATTTATGAGGGAAAAAACTTTTCTCTCCTTGGGCATTCTGTCCGTTCAAAGAAGTAGATTCATGGCCTCGCATCTGGAGTTCTGACTTGAGTGATTCTGGGTCTGACTGGGCTTGATGACATTTCTAGGTGGAATTGTTTTGGAATAAGTGAAATGCATCTTGCAGATTCTTGTGTGACTTGTGAGACTATCAAAGTAAAATTAATCTCAAACGTTCATTAAGCATGTTATTACACTTTTAGAATTTTTATTTATTTTTTGTAATTTGCTTTGAAATTGAATCTCTGCCCACCAACCATAAAGAATCGATTAACATGGATCAATACGTGATTTAAAAATGCAGTTAAAATGCATTTTTTAGCCTTATATAAGCTTTTTAATTCTCCCTTTCCCGCATTTAGATTTCATTTTGAGCATGCCCAAATTGAGCAGAGCGGTCTCTGGGATCTTCAGCTCTGCCTTGGCATGCCATCGGTCACTCTGCGTTTGATTAGTTCGGTCTTTCGCTCCAGGGCTTAATTTGAAACGCGATGCAGCCCATTCGGCGTTTCCAAGCCCGGCCGTCTCGGCTTGTTTAATTCCTGCCAAATTGAATGTGCCTTTTTAATCCGGCACAAAAAAACCTCCTCGACTCTGAGTGGTAGCACAGAGCCCGGTTGTGTCAATACACACCCCCCAAGCCTGTTCCAGAAACCTGCCCCCCTCCCCTCCTCTCCTTTTGGCCCTTCACCCCCCAGGATGGACTCTGACTTCCACTGAGGTATTATAACCATGGGGGTGCAACGGACAGCACAAGACAGGGCTGATTCTAGCTATAAAAAGAGACGGATTTCTTTCAGGGGCGCTGGAAGGGAACAGATTGCTTCACAGGGTCACTTCCCCTCTCAACAGGGGTGTAGCTGTTTCTCTTCTGATTCCAGCTCCTTGTAGTTTCAGTTGAAAAACACATTCTTTTCTTAACGGTCGTATGGTAGTTTTTAACAGCCTCCTATATTTAATAACGGGTCAGACAGTTAACGTGGTAACACAAGAAACGCTAGCGGTCAACGAAATCCACAGCGAAAAAAGTAAAGACCAACGGATCACCTTGGGGTCGGAATGGATCGCGTCCTTTGCTGCCAATGATAAATCCGTAGCCGAACCGACGCCTTTTGTCCTCACGGGAGCCGGAGCGCGCCAAGTTCTCGATAGCAAGGCTCCCGCTATCTGCAGCAGTCATTACCAGGCAAATTAAGCCAAACCCAAGGGGAATCGATCGAAGGCCTTTTCATCTCCCCACTAATCGTACATGGGAGATCAAGGGCGAAGTCGTCCCAGGACACAGGGGGCCGGGGAGGGGCTGTCCAGGGGGTCCTGATGGCTAATGGTAGGGCTGGGGCCACACCGCCAAGCATTTAGATGCTTATAAACACATCTTCACCGAATGCTTGACAATATGCAGCATATAGGGGGTGGATCAGTCAAGGAGGGACCACAGACAACATTTGATCTTCCTAAGTCTGAGGGGGGGGGGACTCTGTGCAAGGCATTCATAGGCCAACCACAAAAGGAAGGTAGAAATACAGAATACATGCACCATACAGTATAACAGCAGTTGCTTGGGATGAAAAGCAGATTAAAGTGGAACGAAACTGAACCCCCGGATGCGTCCTTAGGGCGAATATAGACAAATCTGTTATCCAAGGTAACCTTGATGCTTATGAAAGCATTTTGTGTCGGGGGAGGGCACCAGCATCCCAGCGTTCATTCCGGTTGGTAAAGTAAGCCCCCCC